TGCAGCTGTTTTTTCTCTCTGGATCGAAGAGGCTGCTTTTGGGCCGTTTTTTGACTGATTTTGCTCCTTGGTCCAACAATCCCTTTCTCCCATATCCCGCTTTCGTTAACATAGATGGTTTTTCCAGCATGATAGTCGGAGGCGAGGGTTATGTCCGTTTGGACACAACCTCGCGGACGCCACGTTTTGGAGCGAAGTTGAGCCGTTTTTTTGCCTTCCAGAAAACGCTCCTGCTTTTGCGTCGCGTTGAAAGAGGTCGTTTTGGAGCGACGTTGAGCGTTTTTTCGCTCCAGGACGTATAACAGTAATCCAAGAGGCCGTTTGGAGCGAAGTTGAAGCTTTTTGCAGTTTAGGTTGCACGACAGTTGCGTATCTTGCTCGAAGTGGCCGTTTTGGAGCGAAGTTGAGCGTTTTTTGGCTTGATTTTTAATGTGTGGGCATAGGACCCCCTATACTGTGTGTCCATCCATCGCAGTCTTGAAGTTGATGTTGCCTTTTGGCTCAGCGGACGAACACCCTGAATGCCGATCCCTACCATCCGCCGTTGCTGCAAGGGCTGCTATCCAAGATGGAGCTGAACATTTCAGTTGCGAAAAGCATACTCACACTTTCAACCTGTTGCCTAGGTGCCCACTCGCCAAGCACTTGCAGTTGCAGAAGTGCTTGGTGATGGGCGATGATGATGAGGAGGCGTCTTGCATGATCATTCGTCAGTCATCCGTTGAAACCCAAACGCTCCAGTGTTGAGAACCTGGATGCTTCGGAATGCTTCGGAGTGGCAACTTGGAAAAAAACGGCGATCCAAGTGCGTGTGCGTGTGTGTGTTTGTGTCTGTGTGGAGGGCCACTGTATGTGTGGGGAAGGGCCACTGCAAGTTGGTTGATTTGCTAGTGCCTGCACATGCCTAAGTTTGCATCGAATGCGTGCTGCGAGAATGCGTGGCGCATCTCATGTGTTACGCATTGATTGAGCTGAAGAATATGCTGGGCATGCTGGCGGATGCTGCAATTGCGTACCAATTCCTCCGCCCTGCACCCGTATCATTCGGCGCCGAACTGACATGGTCACCATGGACCTGTGGAAGACAAGTAGGACTTCGACACTGTTGATTTTCCCGGAGGATGACACATGCCCCCTATGCATGCAGCCGATGGACGAGACGGATATCTCCTTCTTTCCTTGTTCCTGCAATTACCAGGCCCAGCTGCATGTCGCGACAAGTTGACATGTTTGTAGCAGGCTTTCGCACGTTTGAACAGAAAGGTTTGCTTGTTCTGCGTCCATTACATCATGGAGCAAATGAACGGCAAATGTCCGGCATGCAGACAGGTGGCTGCCTTGGCACTCGATGTTCTTGTGCAATTTTGAGCAGCATGGCCAGGACTACGTGGAGTCCCAATTCAGGTATGATGCGAGTCGGGGTGCCAAGTGAACTCGTTGGTTGCTGTACAGGTCCTGTCGCAATTGATTCAATTGATGATCTTGCTGCTGTTGCGTTTGAAGGCCGTGCCCAGTCATTCCGCGAAAAACGCGCAGAGAAGAAGAAGGCAAGGGGTGTAACAGTGTAACCATTCAGCCACAGTGTTGTATTCATTCGGAGATGCATGCAGGGTGGCAGCAAGAAGGAGGAGGTGCCTCGCGAGGATCGTCGTGGTGTACATTGACGTGCCATGAAGCCTTGTAATTAGTGGGGCTACTAAGTCACTAAGTCAAACATTGTTGTCCGAAGCTGTCAGTGCCCCGCATGTCAGACGGCTTCAATGATGCTGACAAACCTAGGCAGGTTGAGAGGGCCGAGCGGCATTCCGACAGTTCCCCAAGGCTGCTTGCCATCTCACTCAAGATCAACAGGGGATGTGTGAAGGGCTTCCAGCTGAGGAAGCTCCCAGTTAGGAAGGGCTCACTCGTGGGCAGCTGGCATGTGTTTCCGAAGCACTGCTTTGTCCCACAAGTGGGTCCTCCTTGGCCAGAAAGATAACACCAGCTCCTTCGGAGGGGGGCCACAACATAAGGCGCTCCCTCTGCAGGCCTTGCAAGACGAGCTGGGAGGGTTACCAAGGCACAATGATTTCGTGGAGTCCCGTCTAAACCCTCCGATGGCACTTCCCTGCAGTCCTGGCGCATACTCTTTCCTGGTATCACCTGCTCGCATCTTCATGCCGAGTTTTGTCACCTCCCGACGTACTTGATGGCCCGTGCGACAGCATGTCCAAGGTTGACTGGATGTGCAACAGAAACGAAATGAACTGATCGGAAGGCGTGCTGGGTGGCACATTAGAGATTGGCCCGGAACGATGGCGGATGCGGAAGGGAGCTAGGCGAGAGTGAAGGTGGGCAGGAGCGAGGGTGGGTAGGCGAGTGTGGCGGCGAGGGCAGGAGCCAGCATTGAGAAACCTCACGTCACATGTTTCACAGCATCTAGTCCTTGCTCTGACAACCGCTACCTGGTGCAGAAGTACAGTACTCTCCATCATTAGATTGCGAAATTTCTTCTTGGTTTGTTGTTGTTGTCGTCGCGAAGAGAGGCTAACTAGCAGAGACAATCGAAGACTTTCCCGCTGCGAGTGAATGAACATGTTGTTGTTGTTGTTGTTGTTGGATGCTCCGGGCTTGGATGTTCTTCTTCGTGATTTCACACACCTGCGCCATCTTGGACCCAGCGTCGTAATTACTCCTTTTGGCTAACTCTGCTGTAACTCTGCTGTGCCCTTCGCATGAAGTCTTGTACCGGAAGTGCGCGTGTTGAAGGAGCAGGAGAAGGACGCGCCAGCACAGCAAGCGGAAAAGGCCAAGGCAGAAACTTCGCATCAGCCTCTCCGGTTTGCACATGATTGGGCATGTGTGAGTGCTGCTCGTGGCATTTTTGGTGCAGGGCAGAGGCGGACGCCGTGATTTGTCAGAGGTTCGTGTTGTGCAGAGGAGCCGAGTTATAGGGTGTGGGAAGTTGTTGATCAGCATTTCCGAACTTGGGTGAGCCTGGCCACGTCACTGCCAGAGTCATGGCTCAGCTCCATGGTATGATCGAGCCCACGACTCCCTGTACTGATCGTAGTGAGAGAGACGTAGATGGCCCGTTGCAAGTTCGTAGATGTGGAAACACTGGACCACAGCTTGGAATCCAGCACGCATCTCGCACGACAATTGGCCGGACAGCAGTGCAATGTCTTTGACTTGGGCAGCTCCAATACAAGGCAGGAGAGTGCGGGGCGGGGAGTAGCAGAAGATTTGCGGGCGAGATGGCTGCCCGCTCTCGTGTGCATACTACCTAGAAATGACGCAAAGAGGTGCGCAGAAGGAGCAAGATGGCGGCGAGTCGAGCTAGCATCAAGCGAGCGGTTCTGGCAGCCCGACTCTTGAGAAAAACAGAAGAGTCTGCGGATCCGAAAAATCCGGAAGATTCCAAGCCGGTCGGAGTGGCGGCCGGAGCGGCCGGAGCAGAAGGATTCCGAGGAGGGTCTGTCGCCTCCAAGATTCGGATTCAGAAGCAGCTGACTCGACGAAGCAGCTCAGGCCGGGGGACGTGCACATGTCGGGACGTGTTGATGGGCGAAGCAGCTTTTCAGGTGGACTCTCGCCGTCGAAATCTCGAAGCTTCGACGCCACACGATTCAACCCCACTCGTTTTGGATTTGGCACAGCCTTAGCCTTAGCCTGAACTCGACAAGCTGAGGACGAGGGCGAAGCTCCAGACCCAGGCCATCCAGGCCCAGGCGGCGCAGGCAGCGCAGGCGGCGCAGGCGGCGCAGGCGGCGCAAGCGGCGCAGGCCCAGGCTTTTCCTGACTGTCGATGGGGTTCTCGGCAGGGTTGGCAGGCAGCCGTGCAGGCCAAGACATTGGCGGGCATCTTCGCCTGGAGCTCAAACAGTGCATTCAGAACCTGTGGAGCGTTAAGTTAAGTTTCGGGAAAGTTGTTCAGAGCACACTGGGGATGCATACCACGGCCAGTGATCACCTGGACGCTTCTGAGAAGCTCCAGAACAACACTTGCCGAATGTGAGACTTGAGACAGATTGGGGATAGCAAGTGAAAGAGGGAAACCCCCAATCTGAAGAAGCTGCTGGAATGGAGGAGAACACCGACCTCATAAATCGAATCTGTGCATCAGGAAACTCGTCCCAGAAACCATGCGGCAAACATAACACATGAAATACTTGCTGGCCAGCAACTTGGGGACGACACCGACATTATGGCTGCGTTGGGTTGAGGAATCGGTTTTCGTTGCAAACCCCGCAGGCGGCTACGATTTGCCCGACGTGTTTCCGTAACTTAGTTTTCTGGTTTCCGATTCTGAAACACCCATCTCATTGGAGTCTGAGGCCTGAGACATTCAGCTCACCTGCACGGGACGCAAATTTTGCAGTGGATGTGGAGGATGCGACATGGCTCAGGTTTAGAAGATCTGGACGATGCCGCGCACAGGAACAAGTCGCAGGAAGCGTGGCGCCCGAGTGCCCTTTGTTTGCCGTATGGAGCATGTTTCGGCACTGTAGGCGTGGAGAGAGGGAGTGTATGAGCCATTGTCGTCCAGCTACACTTGGGCTCTGAGAGTGGATCAAGCTTGTCCGATATTGAATTGCCGCCGAAGCCCGCTTCCAGTCTAGTTGCCAGTTACTAGTTGATTGACGAGCAACTACGAACAACCGCACCGTAATCCAATCGGCCAGCGTTATGAGACCGAGCCGCAAACCTCAGCACTTGGCGAAGCCCCAACATGCTGGTCTTAGCGATGCCAGCCAAGATAAGTGGAGAAGAACACAAGGCCCCTGAAGGATTCCCGTCGGCTCCTAACACTTCGCCCATTCCTTTGCTCGTGAGCATTGGGTCGCCAGCATGGCCGATTCTCCCGTCCAGAAGAGGTGTGGGGATCGCGGCATGCAGTGGCACATGCCATGATATTGGACAGACTGACACCTCTGCAGGCGCGTGACCACAGTTGGGACTGTCCCGGAACTGTCGGAGGAAGCGGTATCCGAGCGACGGAAATCGTGCCATGGCCAGTCTGTTTTTCCATCTGAGTGTTGTTGCAGATTCCAGCGTTCGTTCATGCTTTGCCAAGCGGCAACCAGGTTTTCCAAGCAGCACACGGCGCCGACTGCAGGGTGGCAATGTGGGCAGACCGAGAGGTTCTGCAGGTCCGCTTAGACTCCATGCGAGTCCGCATGAAATCATCACGCTCCTACCAGGCTAGCCGTGCCGCCGGAAGCATTGTCAAGAATGCACAAGATGCATGAACTTCTGAAGGTGCCGCCTGCGTAAGTTCTCTGTTTTTCTCTGGTATCCTGTGGTATCCTGCGGTTGTAGTGTTGACAGGTCATGCAGGGTGAGGCCAGGTACAAGCTCGAGGACACGTCCGAGCCGGCGATGGACACTAGCTGCTAACAGATGTTAAAGTTGGTACAAAAGCGCGGGGGTATTTGCTTAAATTTGAAGAATTCTCAGAGCCTCCGAGGATGGGATGTGGAGTGGGAGGAGTTGGCACGTCTTTTCGGAGTTGCCGACGGATCACTCGTCGAGAGAGGCTCCTTACACCCGCAGGGCCTGGCAGGTGCGGCCACGACGGGGATTGGGCTTGGGCGTCAGCGGCAAGTCCTGGCTGAAGGGCTTTGGTGTTGGGGCGGTAAACATGAAGGGTGTGAAAGGCTTTGGAGACAGGTCCATTGGTCAGGACAGTTGCAGCATCTCGGTGTTACCATCTGGCTGGCACGTCTATTGCCTTTTCGATGGCCATGGTGACGCTGGCCACTGGCCTGCAGCCAGGGCCTCTCGCACCCTTCCTTATCTACTGGAGGCCACACAGGCTTGTAGCACAATGCTGAAGCAAGATAGAGTCGAAGCAGCCTTGTATCATGCTTTCGAGAAGGTTCAAATGGACTTGGTCAGAGAGTCCATTCAGCAAGATTTGGAGCTGCAAGTGTGCGGAAGCACTGCTGTCTGCGTGCTGCAACATCCGCAACATGAGAAGATCTGGACAGCACATCTGGGAGATTCGAGGGCTGTGCTGATGGTTCCTGGCAAGGGTGCCGTCCTGCAAACCGCAGATCACAAGCCGTCGGTGGAGACGGAACGCTCGAGGTTGGAGACTCTTGGTGTTGAAATCCAAAGGAAAGTTCACGAGGACGGATTTGTCGAGGAGCGCCTCTTCATTCAGGGGGAAGACTTTCCAGGCCTTTGCATGACGAGATCCTTGGGTGATCTCTGCGTGAAGGATCATGGAGTCATCGCAGAGCCGGAGGTTCTTTGCTGGAGTACCAATGACTACCCTGACGCTTTCGTTTTGATTGCGAGTGATGGCATTTGGGACTGCTTCAGCTCTGATGAAGTGAGTGAGTTGGAGTCCAGTCTGCACTTAGACCGTCCAGCCAGCAGCTGTTCAGTGCAGACTGAAACAGTTCGGCTTTAAATCCGGTCGCTGGAAGAACCTGAAGCTGCAGGTGTTTTTCTTCTCTCTGTTTGTGAAAGCACCAACGTGATCAGGTGCTTGGTGCCATCGCAGCGGGAGATTCGCTGGAGGTGGCCACGAGCAGAGTCGTCGAGCGTGCCAAGGAAAGATGGAGTCAGTATGAGGAGCACTACTGCGTGGCTTGGTTGAGTTGAAGTTCAGACTGCAGATTGATTCAAGATGTAACTTCGTTTCACTACGGACACTTGCGAGAATCTGCGGCTGTTCTTGGCGCTGAAATCCGACAAACATTTGACCCGCTGCGGAGGGCATGTTTCTTTTTTTGTAGGCCGAAATTTTTTCGTGTACTGTAAGTAGAGAAGCTTCCTGGACAACTTTTGCCCTTCCAGCATTCGGTGTGTTCAAGTCCAGCTGCGGTCTCAGAAGGGTTCATGCGAGTTTATGTACAGACATGAGTCATGAGACACTCACATGACAAAAAAATTATTGTGAATGCAATACTGCATTGTCATTGCTGCTGATGCTGCTGCCGCTGCCGCTGCTGTTGCAGTTGCATTTGCAGTTGCAGTTGCAGTTGCTGTTGTTGTAGCCGCCACGGATCACAGAAGACAGTGTTGCGCTGCTAGCCAGGCCGCGGGCGCTAATTCTAGAGGCTCGCAGCAGGCTCCCTTCGCCAAGCGGTTGTCTGCTGGACGGAGCCATCGAGTGCGCCGCGGCCTCGCATCTGCCGCCGGGTCCCAATGGCCTCTGAAGTGCGCTATGAATGCCTTGACGGAGGTAGGCAGTAGGGTTTTCACCTGTCCGCGGGGTGAAAGGAGCATCGTCTTGCCCAGGCTCGACTTTGCGAAACTAGCGGATGGCGACACCGCTTTTGCACCAGGATTCATTGCAGAGCATACGCAAGAGGGCCTTTATGATTTTTTTGGAAAGGCTTGCAACCGGGTTTATCGCATGCAGTCCAATCAGGACTACAGGCATGGGTCTCTCACACCAGATTACCTAGCGAAAAGCGGCTTGGAGCTTCCGCTCCCCACAGCACCCACCTTCACGGCCTCCCCGATGCAGACCCTTGATCAGCGCACCAGAGGAGGCAAACTTAGCAAGCCCATTCGGCTACTGTCTTGGAATGCGGACTGCCTTGGCACACAACAGTGGTCTGAAAGTAAGACGTGGTTACATACCAGTGCACAGCGGACTTGCGGTGTCCTCGCACTTCAGGAAAAGCACTGGAACGAAACTGCAGAGTTTGTGCTCGAAGGCTGGCAAATGCTGGCAATGCAGCAGCTCTAGCTCTGCCAAAACGGGAGCCGCTAGAACCTGCAAAGGCAGGGAAAAGCTCGGCAAGGCCTGAGGCCAGCCACCCCTGGCAGGGAGCTAGAATGCACATTTTGGTGGCATACCAGCACGCCTGGTCGTCACAAAAGTCCGTTTAGCAGAACAACAAGGATCGAATGAAAATCTTGAATGCTCTACCAAACATGTTGAGTTTTACTTGAAACAATATGGGTTACAACTAAATAGATCCAAGTGTTGCGTCCTGCATATGCAAGATCCCGCCAGTATTCATTTTTCAGACGGCGTCTTGTTGCCGAAGGCGCAAGAAGCCTCTTACCTAGGAAACAACATAAACCAAACTGTAAACATCAGACATGAGGTTGTGCAACGTATTCAAAATGTCAAATCAACTTGGCTAAAGCTGCACGTGTTCTGGAGAGATAGCTCTGCTAACCGTAAATGGCCACTCTTAATCTATGAGGCTGTTATTCGCAGTAGGTTATTGTATGGGCTTGAAACAATCCATTTAACGAAGTCGCTGACCTCCAAGCTCAATGCTTTCCATCATCGAGGTTTGCGAAAGATACTGCATTTAGATACCACTTATGTAAACCGCGCAAATACTAATGCTCGACTGTTTGAAGCAGCGACACAAGCTGCAGGAAAGCCGGTTGTCCCAAGTCCTTTTGACCAAATGCTGAGCGTTAGAAGAGTCAAATTAGCAGGTCACAGTTTAAGATCCCCTGATACGGACCCTTTAAGGCAAGTTAGCTACCAACCAGGCAGTGCTCAACCGTACGAGATTGGTCGTAGAAGAGTCGGACGCCCACGTCAGCAATGGCTACATAATGTTAACTCAGTTATAGTCAGTACTCTATCCAACCGCCAATATGTAGCCAGCAGTCAACAGAATGACATAATACTACGTGGTGCAAGACTCAGGACATTTTAATCAGCACTCCGTCAACCCTTCAAAGCGCCGAAGCGCGTCATTCATCTGCTGTATTGGGCAAGATGCGCAAGGCTGTTGAAAAAGACTTCAATGCACAACTACATCCTTTCTTTCCGGGCTTGGTAGGCGGCTGCAGCACCCCGACTGAACAGGTGGGATTGCAGCATGAACCTTCCAGCGATTTGTCGACCCATAGCTTGATCGCTGTAAATACTTGGTGCAGTGGCCGGGGAAGCACCTTTGTGCAGGGCAGCACCAGGACGCAGATCGACTTTTTATTTACGTTCCAAGCTTCCTCTAAGGGGTCGCTGGAAGAGGAGGACACATCCCTCTTCTGGCTCAGGTCAAGCCCGTCCGTCACTGGAACTTTCCCCCACCACCTCCGTGGACGGCCTCCTTCTGCCCAGCTGCGCAAGAAGCGGCAGTTCGGGCGAACCGTCCGCAGGGACAAGCTTCACTCTCCGGATAATGCCAATCAAGCTTTGCTGGCGGGATCGGCAATCTTTTTCCGAAGCTTAAGTATGCTGTGAAGTCACAAAACGCACCGCACCGAACCACGCAGAGCATGTGGGCTCGCCGTAGACAACAGGAACAAGAGCTTTACTCAAGTGTCCTGACTGACGCAGACCATACACAACTCCTCGGGTCGTGGGACAAACAAGCCATTAAGCTAGCCCGCAGCAGGATTTCCAGAAGGAGGTCGATGCTGCCTGCCAAAAACGGCGACGCTTACATAGCTCACAAAACTCTAATAAACTTCGACGGTGGGAGCATGTCGGAGCCTCAGCTCCGCTCCCAACTGCAGAGCTCGGAAGCTGACTAGCGCTCCTAGAACAACATGTCAAAAAAGTCTTTGCGCGCCTGCACGCGATCCGAGCGCATCGCCGCTTGGGACGGCACGGCCAGGCCGAATGAACCGACTGATCCCCCTGGGACACGTGCCCAGGCACTGCCTCCGGAGGTCACGGAAAAGGGCAATACGGCACCACCACGTCCACTTCTCATACCGCCTACCATGGCGGTGTGTGCCGGGCAGGATTGCAGGCCGTAGCGGATTTCCAATCCCTGTCGGCACCTGAAATCCTTGGGTGCTTGAAGGCTGAAGAGTACATGACCATTTGGCGCGCATGGCAGCACTCGCCAAGCTTCCCATGGTCCTGCAGGACTTGACAGCTACTACTATAAGTAACAACCAAGTCACCTCCAGTTGTCCTCATGTCGGCCAGAATGGTGCTGGACCCGAAGGGCTTGATCACCATTGCCGCAACAGGACCGGTGTGGGACCTGGCGGTAATGTGGGACGTCGGAAAGGGCACTGCTCCGGACTGCATGCAATGGTCAACAAGGGGATCCGGGAAACTTTGCAAACCGACAAACTTTTCGCCATCGCCTTCCAGACTGTCTGTAACACCGCCATGAGCAGAGTCCTGCAATCCTTCCAAGTGTGTGTGATTCAATATGCCTGCCGAGAGCAGAACGCACAAGGTACTCTCAAGCTCACACATGGTGAGACTCCTGGCTCTAAGCTGACAGTTATGACAGGCTCGAATGACTCGAACTGGGTCCTGAGGCCGACTCAGCCTGGCGACGAAACGGCAAGCCCCACCTCCTGACGACGATTCACATGTCGGGGGTGATTGGCGGCTGGAACGAATGGAACCAGCAAAGTCGTTCCAATTGGCGATGACGCACGCAACACTTGCTTAGGCACCCCCTTTGCGAACACTACGGGCACTGTCCCGACGTAGCTGTACAGCCTTTTTCTCAGTTGTTTTTACTTTACTTGCCTTTTCACCACCGTTTGCTCGCTTCACCTGCCTGCGACAATTATACAGTTTGCTGCCCAACTTGCGAGATGCAGCAGACATAAATTGCACACTGCCTGTCACAAAAGTGCACAGTGTTCGCCGCTAAGACACGATACTTTCTGCATGGGCGAAGTTCAGGTTGGCGCCACATGTGGGATGACCTTCGCCTGCGTCACATCGCGTTAGTCTGGGAATGATGTGTGACGCCTCTAGACTGGCACTCGGGGACCACGCGTTGGCTCACACTGAGGGCTGAGGGTGTCGGAGGTTCGTCTCACCGCACAGCCCCAACCTGAGATGACACACCTTGCTGTGCAGCAACCAACTACTCTGTGCTTGACACTCAAGCTGATGCAATTTACATACAGCACTCCCGGACCGAGTACCGCTCGAGTCTGCAAATCGGCATGGCCCTGCAGTGTACTAGTAGGGCTGTGCGGTAGCTTAAACTTGACGAGATCCCAAAGTGGGCATTCACATTTCCTGCTCTGACTGCTTTGTACAGCTGGTGCTATGGCAGTGGCAATTCGCCCGCTGTGAGCAGAGCCCGCTCGCTCAGCGTCCAATAAAAATTGTTATTTTTCTTGTTGTTGTTGTTGTTGCTGTTGCTGCTGCTGCTGTTGGCAGTTGGTGCGTCTGCCGCCGCGGAGGGTGGAACGGTTTCAGGGTTGAAATGTGCTCAAACTTGATTTTTGGCACATGGCCGTCTGGACAGAGAATCTGCGCAGTGCATTGCGTATCGGTTTTTGTGGTTGCTGAAAGAAAGGTTCGATTTCAAGGCTGCGTTGTGCCAATTCTCGATGTTTCGCACATGACAGTTTGGACTTCTTTGGGTAATTCAGCCTCGTGCAGGGGTGGGGACGGGATTGTACTCTGCCGCGTCACCTCATGTTCTCTTCTCAGGACGATGTGACTCTGATCCTCTTTCGTGCACATCGAATGGACACAGGCCGCAGAGTGGCTTGCGCATTGCGTTGTCGAATGTCTTAGGTCTAAGTCTAAGAGGGTCAGGTCGTATGTCCGTGTAGTAGAACGGCTTGATTGTACCATCCAGCCAGGACATCATCAGGCGTGGGCGGCCAAGCCTGAAAGTTGTTGCATGGCGGGCCTGACTCACTTGGGCAGCTTGGCAGGTTGTTCTGATGTCGTGTTGTGTCTTGGATGAGCCATGTTGCCAAGGTTGTAACCTCATGTGATGAACGGCGACGGAAGCTCGTCATGTATTTTTTGCAACTCTTTCGTTTTTAGACTGACAGCTTCAAGCGCGATCCGTCCTCTAAAATGGCAGCCCTTTCAGAAGGCTTTGGGATGAATAATTTCGGCACCCCATCCCACCGAAAGTAGCAAATCGCTCGCAATGCCCGGTGGGTCTGCAGTGTTGGAAGCGTGCATCGCTCGAAATGGATGTTGCCAGTTGTGGGCCGTGTTGGTAACGCGTCTATCCGACCGCTAGTGATCAGTGGGCGGATGGGCCCGGAGTGGAGCCTCTGGGAGTTCCCATCGGAGTCGCCCAGGCCCAGGCTGTTCCAGGACGAAGCCGCATGCTTCCGCCGCCGGTCCAAGCTGCCAAGGCGTGGCAGCTTTGGGGCTGCCTAGGTGCATGACCTCTGCAGAGCCCTGCTGAGTTTGGTTCACTGAGGATCGGTGGCAGCGCTTGTGAAAACGTTGAGCAGCCGGGAATTCTGGTTGATATGAGCGGAGCTGCGTGTGAGGAGGTAAATTACCTCCGGTGATCACCTTAGCTTCATCTAGTGATATCTAGTGATCATGAGTTTGTGTGCGTTTGGCAGACAAACTGTGCCGCCAAATGGCTGGCAAAGTCTTATCGAACTTCACTGGAAGTGGACATTGATTTAGTTTAATTGGAAGTAGGACTGGCCCACAGTGATCTGGGATCCTCTCCCGTGCCGGGTGCAGCACAGGCAGTGGAAACACCGATCAGCGGTATGTCAGCACAAGTTGACACCATGTTGTTTGTAAGGCTCACGCAGCACCTGTTTTCGGCGGCCTAGCTGCACTGAAGGCTGGAGCAAAGTGGAAAGGTGTGTCCGGTGCAGACGTGTTGGCGGAAACCTGTGCCAGGTTAAGCATCGCCTTCAGGCCCTTCACCAGGCACAATGGTTCCCAAGAGTTGCGGTAAGGAGAAGGCCGAGGAGAGTTCGCCTTCACGTTTTGAGGAGGCGAAGAAGAAGCAACCCGCGCTTCCAAGCATTGGTCCTGCAAATTTCTCTGTCACCAATGTCGCCTGGATGCCAATTGCGAGTTGATTTGTGCAAACTAGGGCAGTATGGTTAGAGCAGTTCGGGGGAATTGGGAGCAGAAGGGTCGAGGTGAGAGAGTGAATGCTCCCGCATCTCAGGCCTCTGCAGCTGACAAGATTCCCGAAGTTCCGGTAACTGCCCCGAGCCAAAACCAATCTGCCAACAGCATGGCGGCTCTGGTGTCTGCTGCGAGGCTGAAACCCTCGTCCAAATTCATGTACGTTTCTTTGCTTCATGCTGTGTAGCTTGTGATGCACCCCACATCGCAGGACCACTCTTCCAAAGTTTTCGGGAGCAGCAGAGGAGGCGGGTTAACTCTTGCGTTTGCATGGGATAGTGGCCTCAGCTCACAAAAAGTACTCCCAAGCGGTGCCCCGCGCCTCGGGGCCGACACAGTATGACACAGTGCCAGGAGGCAGAGATCAAAGCTCTTCTTGGGGAGGTGCAGTCTGTGCTGCACAATGGTTCGTCACATCTCCAACTTAGTGCAGCTTCACGGGCAGGTGGACAAGGACTTGCTCGACGTCCTGAAGGAGGACCGAGATGACCCTCAAACATCCACATGCTTAGCCTACCTGTTGAGGTGAGCCGCGCTCTCACTTGGTTGTTCAACGATTCGGATACAGACTTCGACAATCAGCTCACCTACAAACAGCTCAAGGCTGGCATGCGACTCACTCCCGTGTTATGGAGCTTTCCCACAATCGCGCGCAGCTTGCGAAAACTCACTGCAGCGTTTGGATGTATCAGACCGCAGCCAAATTCCCGGCACTAGTGCAAGAGATCCCGCAAATCCCGCTCAGCAGTTTTCACTACGTGCCCGACTTGTTACTTATGGGCTCCGACAGCATCTCGAAGTGAAGCCTGTCCTGCTCCTGCAAAGATGTGCTGCGTGTGACGCTGCTCAACTTATGTGCTCCTCTCAGACGTGTGCGTTCAACGGAAAGTTGAACATGATTCGAAGCGTCCGTCTCGAGTTGCTGAACGCCGACCTGCAGAATGAAGCTGGAGGATCGTGTGAAGGCTTTGGAGGCCATCTTCTCGTGGCACACGGCTAAGCCTTCAAGATCCTTCGCTCGGGGGGATTCTGCTTGGGGGGCGAAGCACGCGCCAACCGAACGTCCTGGCATGAACGGACGTACGTCAGGAGGTTTGGGCAGTGGCCTTCCAAGAACAGAAGCAGCGAGTTGCAAACGGAGGAGCAGAGGCGCAAAGTATTGCGGATCCGAGATGCAGCAGCAAATCGTGAATGCCCGTGCCTGCAGGATTTAGCCTTGCGATTAGCTAGAGCTCTCGGGCCAATCCAGGACCAGTTGCAAGAGTGAGATTTTCTTCGGGTTCCTTGTAGATTTTACCCTGCCTCCAG